GTAAGAGCAATAGCACTTATTTCTATGGCGATCATTACTATCTAAAATAAATGACAAGGGCACTGAAATTTGACTCAACTCATTATTCTAATTCTGTTGAATGTATAAATCCTGCCTTCATCACAGTAACAGCAAACTGCCCATGAGAGACTTGCATCCACTTTAGTCACTGAATAAATATGTAACCAAATGAAAAAAAATTAAAATAAAATAAATGGCAAAGCTGAAATATATATATATATATATATATATATATTTTTTTTTTTTTTTTTAGAGACAGAGTCTCACTTCCTGGGCTTAGGCAATTCTCTTGCCTCAGCCTCCCGAGTAGTTGGGACTATAGGTGCCTGCCACAACACCTGGCTATTTTTTTGTTGCAGTTTGGCAGGGCCAGGTTTGAACCCACCACCATTGGTATATGGCGCTGGCACCCTACTCACTGAGCCAGAGGCACTGCCCAAAGCTGAATTATAAATGAGTTAATGAGGTATACATAAAGTACAAATGAGTTAGAAATATCCAGTACTATGCAGCATTTTAGTGATCAAAAGGTCATTGTATTTTTTGGAAAAGGGGGTTTTCCCTTTTCCAAAAGTTGGTTTCAACTTCCCTGGTTCAAGAGATCATCCTCCAGCCAGGTGTGATGGCTCACACCTGTAACCTAATATTCTGAGAGGCTGAGGAGAGTGGATAGCTTGAGCTCCCAGGTTTGAGACCAGCCTGAGCAAAAATCGAGACCCCCGTCTCTACTAAAAATAGAAAAACTGAGTCAAGAGGATCCCTTGAGCCCGAGGTAGAGGTTGCTGTTGCTGTGAGCTATGACGCCATAGTACTCTACCCAGGGAGACAGCTTGAGGCTCTGTCTCTAAAAAAAAAAAAGAGAGAGAGATCAGCCTCCAGTGCTGGAGCCACCCAGCTGGGTTTAAAGGATCATTGTTTTGTTGCTATATTGTTCAACTGGAAGTTAATACAGTAAAATAAAATACTTAGGAAAAGGTCGCAGTAACAATGTAAATGAAATCAACAGATGTCGTTTTGATTACAAATGTATCAGAATTCTAAAGAAGTTTGAGCAGAATCTAAAAAGTAATCAGCCAGGCCCAGTGGCTCACACCTGTAGTCCTAGCACTCTGGGAGGCCAAGACAGGTGGATTGCTTGAGGTCAGGAGTTCCAGACCAGCTTGAGCAAGAGCAAGAGCAAGACCCCATTTCTAAAATAAACAATGGGGCGTTGTGGCACCCTCCTGTGGTCCCAGCTACTTGTGAGGCTGAGTTAAGAGAATCATTTGAGGCTCGGCGCCTATAGCTCAACCGGCTAAGG